GATATGGCAAAAAGGCCTGGTCTTCCTTGAAAATTCACATTTGCCCTGTGACCCAAAAGGCGCTCGTGGCAGTCTAGCCGAGTGGTTAGCGTGTCAAGTTCCCATCCTGCACTGTCGCGGTTCGACTACCGAGGTCGAAACTGTAGTCCACTTCTGTCTGGATGAGAACAACTTTTGGGAAAGCAAGGCTTCATCACTTTAAACGAAGTTGGGTGAATACATCTCATATTATTGATAATATTACTGGTAGTCACGAAAACAATACTTAATTCGAAAAATCAAGAGGAATCTGCCGTCCTATTCTGGTGAGAATGACCGTTAAATCTGTTTATCACCCACAATTTATGTTCCGTAAAAAAATCGGTCTTTGAAACTACCAGTACATAACATATTCATTCTATTTCGTGTAAATGGATGAAGTACTGATAGTTGCATTTTTCCTGGTAGCCTTGAAGGCCTACTGAATGCGAAAAAACGGGAATTGACGCCAAAATAGATGCCACAACATGTTAATCTTCCTAACTGGATAAGATAAGGTCATTAGGCGTTGATGATCAGAGCCTAACTTTAACCTTTTGATAACTCTGATTTAGGACCGGTATAGCGTATAGACACAAACACACACACGCATACACTCGAGAAAAAGTAGCAGGACAAGTATGAAAGATGATTAGCTAAACAACTCTATATCCATCAAGGTTTTTAATTTGTAATTTTCTTTTGGCTTAGCCTAGTCCATATAAGAGGTAATAAAAAGCCGGATAGTCTTCTTGGCTTAGTTTTAAGATTTGACTTTTACAAGAATGACACCCAGCTCTGACGATGTCCATCATTTGATGGACGAAAGCTCAGCACGTTTTCACCCGAAACGCGGGAGGAAGTCTTGTGAACTGCGTCAACATGAATATGATATAAAATCCAACCAGCTGCAGTACAAAGAGTTTCATCCGTTCTCATCTGGTGAGATCGACCAAGGAATCTCTTCTTCATGCATTTTCATACGAAATGAAGGTCCCTCTAACAATGGATAAGATAACTTTTAAGAGGCAAGACTATGTGAGATTCAATGGTGTTGTAAGGCCTGCCACACCATTATGGGTGGTTAAGTGATTATTGAACAATTAACGCGAATCCCTAGTCTACATGCTGATCTGTTTTAACATGCCTGCCCCGGGCAGACAGACGAAAGCTGAGCAAGGAGTTCTCGCTGTCGCAGAACAAAATCGACAATGCAAAGGAAAGGAGATGAGTTTCTATGAATCTCTTGGTTTATACTTGTTGAGCTCACTTACATTTCGAGTGAAAGTGTTTGGTGAAGATGTTCGAAGACCGATCCCAAGAGCTATAATCACAACCGCAAAGCTTCGGCTTCGGCTTCGGCTTCGGGTGAGGCCTCTTAGAGCCTGCTCTCCACTCTCACCTTCACACATGCTTGTTTGTGAGGCTGAGGCAAATGATTTTGCCATGCTCTCTCCCCCCTGTCGGCATGTGTGTGGAGCCAAGCATAGCTGGTCTCTCTTTTTGATTGCTATGACCTCGACCAGCCCAACCCCGACACCATTTTCGCAGACATTCTCAAGACTGTCTTGAGGGCGTCTGTTGTCTCTGCTCTACTTCATTTCCCGGAGCTCACCCTTCCCGCCGGCCGGAAGAGCAGGGATCACCACAACCAGACACGACCAGCCGACCTCCCAGCATATACATTCCACCCGCAGCCTCGGCCAGCTTAAGGCCTAACATGACTGTATTCCGTGCCGGGCATCGTATCTCTCCGTCCATGCCGCTCCCCGTCAATGGGGATCGGACAGGCCTGAAACCGTGTATTCTAGCCTACCACACAGGCATAGAGACAGACGAGACTGGCTGGCTGGCTGGCTGGCTGGCCGAGGGTGTATGCAAAGCCGTGGGATGCGACAGAGTGAGCATGTGAGTGGGTGTGTGTATGTGTGCTGTATGAAGGAAGGAGGGGTGGAAGGCCCGAGTTGGTAAGAGGATCCCCACAGGCTGGGCATAATGACACCGAGTCCGGGCGTCAGGAGGAAGCAACGATGGGACTGACCTGAACTGGCTTGTCCGTCTGGCGGATGGACTCAATAATCCATTTGCCCTGACTGTCGTCGGGAGAGGAAGAAGTGTCGTTTCATCCTAACCGACTGTGTGTGTGTGTGTGTGTGTGTATGGGCAAGGGTGTGGGCCAATTAGGAGGGCATCTAATCCGCCCGCAGTAACAGCTCACACAACTGTTGGCACCATTAGCCCGGTCGGTATAATGCACATTTCCTGAGAGCAGAAAAAAGTTGCTTGCCCATGACCATTCTAAACCTTTGCTAACTATCTCTGCTGTCATTTCCATCACCTACTCGCTGGTCTTGCCCACTTCTCCCCCAGCATCATCCCTAACCTGCCCACATTCTACCAGACGAGTCGTCGCCCTGTTCGCTAGCCTATCGAAACAGCTGCTTCATGGCACCGAGCTGCTGCCTCTACAACCAGCATTCTCTACTCTTCTCCCACCCGCTCTCCCAACCATCAATACAATCACACACTAACAAATCTAAGCACCCACACAACCAATCGCCCATCTATTCAACAAACTAACGATCCCAATCATCCATTCATCTGTCTAAACACCCAAACATCCAACCAATCAACCATCCATTCGACAAATTAACAACCCCAAAATATACACAACCACCATTCCATACACCCGTACAACCAACCGCGCATCCATTCAACAAACTACCAACCTAAAGACAAGCACTACCACTCACCCACTCATCCACCCAACCAGTTACCCAGCCAACCGCTTGTCCATTCATCCCCTCACCCAACCAACCACACGAGCAAAAACCAGTCCAAACACCCACCTTTCCACACAATAAATAATCCAAAAATCCGCCAACCCCAAAGCATACACAACCACCTACCCACGCATCCTGCAAACTGCTTATTCAGTCACTTAATAGTCCGTCCAAACAGCCACACAGCCAACAACCCAACCAACCACTCTTCGAACCCTCAAATCAGCCAGCAAACCATTTAACCACCCACCCTACATACTACTTAAATGCGTTGTCTAGCCAGATTCGATGGATACGTTTTGTTCTCTTGCCTCGTTTGAACGGGGAATCAGCATAAATGCCGCCCAGTGCCACATCGATGCAATTATGCCATGAGTC